TCTAGTTCAGGGTCCGCGTCGGGTTTAGCTAATGTGAGTGGTCAAAGTGGCCAAAATCAAAATTCAGAAAACTCACATACAGTGCGTCCCCATAGTTCACGTTCAGTATGTCCTGAAAACAACATTGTATTGCAGTCGAAATCTAGTTTTTTCGGTAGTGAAAATTGTCATGTTTTATTAGCCACTGCCTTCGTACAGGTAATTAATAATGATGGAACTTTTTTGTCAGCTAGAGCAGTCCTAGACAATGGATCTCAAGTATCTATTATGACACGGAAATTGGCAAAACAACTAAGGTATCCAACGTATAGAAAAAATGTTGAAATTAATGGTGTTTCTGGCGCAGTACAATGCACTGAAGCAATTGATATTGAATTTAAGTCAACAGTTGACAAAAATAAAAGGTTTAAAGCTACATGCTCAATTACAGATTTCAGTAGTTGCAGGTTGCCGCAATTTCCAATTGAAGCCGGCAAGTTAGAAATTCCTACCAATATTGTCCTTGCAGATTCAAAATATTACAATCCACAACATATTGATTTACTTCTTGGAGCAGAGGTGTATTTTTCATTGTTGATTCCTGGTTTAATTAACCTTGGTAATGAACTTCCAGTCCTCCAAAACACACACCTAGGTTGGGTTATAGGTGGAAATTTGCCTTCTTCGTTAATTTCGAATTTCATTGCAAATTGTGATCCGTTTAAGCCGTTGTCCTTATTTATCAGTTCAGATCAAGTTGATAATCTATTACAAAAATTCTGGACTCTTGAGGAGGTTCCTAAGGACAATATATTGTCTACTGATGATGAAATTTCAGAAAAAATCTTTGTAGATACTACCAAGTTACTTGAAAATGGTAGATTTCAAGTCGACATCCCTTTGAAATCTTCAAATGAAAATATGAACCTTGGAGAATCATTTTTATCGGCCAAAAAACGTTTTAATTCCCTTGAAAAAAGGTTGATTCAAAATCCTGATTTATTTAGTCAATATTCTGAGTTCATTGACGAATACATAAAGTTGGGTCACGCAAGGTATGTTCCTCTGGACCTTAAAAATAAAAACAATGAACATAAATATTTTATTCCGCATCATTGCATAATTCGAAATGACAAAACTAGTACTCGTCTTAGGGTAGTTTTTGATGCATCAATGAAATCAACCTCGGGATATTCATTGAATGATATCTGTCTTAAAGGCATGGTCGTACAGCCTGAGCTTTTTGACATACTGTGTAGGTTCCGTATATTCCGTTTTGCAGTTGTTACTGACATCCAGAAGATGTACAGGCAAATTATGATTAATCCAGACCATACTTTTTTGCAGAACATCTTATGGCGAAAAAGCCCTGGTGAAGAACTTTCTTGCATAGAACTTTTGACGGTTAGTTATGGAACCAATTTCGCACCATACGTTGCCACTCGTTGCCTCACTGAATTGGCAAATATGTATAAGCATAAATTTCCTACTGCAGCGAATGTTTTAACAAGTCAAATGTATGTTGATGATGCACTGTATAGCGTGAATTCCTTGAATGAATTATATGAATTACGAAACTAATTAGTTGAATTATTGAATTTGGGAAAGTTTTCACTTCATAAGTGGTGTTCCAATTCTCAGCAGTTTATGCAAAAGTTTAGTTCTGATTCTGAGTTACAAAACTATTTTTTAATTTCTGAGGGCATGTCTAATAAAGTTTTAGGTATTTTTTGGAATCCAAAGTTGGATTGTTTTTCTGTGTCTTTACCTAAAACTATTGATATCACTCCTCTCACTAAGAGAAATGTTTTGGCTGTCATTGCGCAAATTTACGATGTTTTGGGACTAGTGTCTCCGATTGTAGTGAATGCAAAAATTTTCATGCAGAAATTATGGCTGTCAAAGTTGGGTTGGGATGATTGTCTCAGCGAAGAGTTGAAATATGAATGGTTGAAATTTGCAAAAAATATTTTAGATTTGTCAGAGCTACAAATTTCACGGTGTTTGATAGATAATTTGGATGATGTGAAGCGAATAGAAATACATGGGTATTCTGATGCCAGTATAAAGGCGTATGGTTGTGCTCTTTATTTGAGAGTAATTTATAATAATGACAGTGTGTCAACTAATTTAATTTGTTCCAAGTCTAAGGTTGCGCCGTTGCGCACAATCAGTGTTCCTCGGCTAGAACTCTGTGGTTGTTTGCTGTTAGCCCAAACTACAAAAAGAATTGTAAATATTTTTAAAGACTCTTTCAGAATTGACTCTGTTAACCTGTGGACAGATTCGAAAGTTTCACTGGCATGGTTGCAGTCACATCCAGGAAGATGGAACATTTTCGTTGCAAATCGTGTTTCCATCATACAAGAAAATAGTTCTAACTGTGTCTGGAGGTATATACCTACGAAGGATAATCCAAGTGATTATGTGTCCAGGGGCCTTTCAGCCCAAGAGTTACTGTTTAACAAACAATGGTGGAATGGTCCTCATCATTTAAGTAATCCAAATTTTAATCTTGATTCCTTTAAAACTAATCTCGTTCTTGAAAATCTTCCAGAGCAGAGAAAAACGGTTTTAAGTGCAGTGTTCAAAGCACATTGTGAAAGTCAATTGCATAAAATTTTAGAAAAATATTCAGATTTTTATAGGTTGCAACGTGTTATTGCATTCTGTTTAAGGTTTCGTCATAACTTGAGATGTCCAATAGGTGAAAGAAATTTTGGTTCGCTTAGTGTTGATGAATTACAAGAATCATTGTGGTTCATAATAAAATTTCTTCAACTAAAATATTTTTCTGAAGAAATTGAATGTCTGAAAAATGATAAAATAATTAAAAATAAAAAGCTACGTTGCTTAAATCCTTTTTTGGACAAAAAAGGCCTAATGCGTGTTGGCGGGAGATTATCAAATGCTAATATTCCATTCTCCCAAAAACATCCATTACTGTTGCCGTCAAAATGTCATGTTGTCAATATAATGTTGCGAAAAGAACATTTGAGACTATACCATGCAGGTGCACAAACAGTATTAACCAATTTTAGATTAAGATACTGGCCTATTGACGGGCTTAGGTCAGTCAAACGAATTATTCATAATTGTATAACATGTTTTCGCTTTACTGCAAAGTGCGCTGAACAAATGATGGGTAACTTACCTAGGGACAGAGTTTCGATCTCGAGGCCTTTCCAAAGAGTGGGTGTTGATTTTGGTGGGTTTTATTTACTTAAAACTTCTAATTTACGCAGAGCTCCAAAAATCAAGGCATACATTGCCATCTTTGTTTGCATGGCAACAAAATGCGTGCACATTGAACTTGTGACAGGATTGTCAACCGAGCATTTTTTGCTTGCTCTTAAGAGATTTATAGGTAGGCAAGGTAATCCATCTGTGAATTACTCTGACAATGCCACAAACTTTTTAGGCTCCAGTAACCAGTTGAAGGAACTTCATGAATTTTTTAAGAGTAAGGAAAATGTTCATTCCATTGAAAATTTCCTCGCGCAAAATGAAACCCAGTGGAAATTTATACCTCCACGGTCACCTCATTGGGGGGGCATATGGGAGGCTGCGATTAAGAGTGCCAAGTACCATATCAAACGAACTATTGGTGACACAGTATTAAACTTTGAAGAGTTTAGCACTGTACTCACTTCTATCGAGAGCATCTTAAATTGAAGACCCTTGAGTGTTTTGTCTAATGATTCGTCTGATTTGAATCCATTAACGCCAGGTCATTTCTTGATTGGCGATAGCTTGGCTGCATATCCAGATAAAAATTTACTTGAAGTTTCCAATAATCGTTTATCTATGTATGAGAAATGTGTGAAAATCAAGCAACAGTTTTGGAAAAGGTGGTCTGTGGAGTACTTAAATAGGCTGCAGCATCGACCCAAGTGGTGCAACCCTTCACAGAATTTGAAAATCAATCAGGTGGTATTGGTCAAAGAGGACAATTTACCACCTCTCAAATGGTCTTTGGCACGTATCAGTGAGATACCTCACAGCCCAGACGGCAAAGTGAGGTTAGTTAAAATTAAAACCCAAGATGGAATTTTCTATAGGTCCATTACAAAATTATGTCCTTTACCTGATGATAAACCTATAACCGATTGTGACGATTCTTAATGTAATTATTGATTACTGATAATATTATTATATTTTATAGCTTAGGTTAAGGAGTTACTTGTTGATAGTTTATAATAAGTGTTTTAGTAAAAGGTGTGAATAGTGCTTTTCTCAGTGCGTTCATTTGATTTTTTATTGGACTTTTCATCAGAAAATGCCCAAGGCGGGAGTATGTTGGATTTTCTAATAATTATTCCTGATTTTGATATTATTATTTATATTATGGTGCAATCTATCCTTATTGTATTGGTTACAAGTATTGGTGCAATATCAATTCTCCCAAAACATAAAAAAACCCACAAGAAGGAACAAGTTTTTTAATATGCTTCTTCCCCCCAAATTCCAATAATGGACTCGTCCACACCTAGATATTTTAAGGGAAGCGCCATTTCTGTATAAATTCCTAGTAGTCGTGAGTTGGCTATCGCATAAATAGGTACTGTGCTACCCGCCGTATTGAAGAAGCGGCGTCGCGAAGTCGCGTCCAAATTTTAATTAATTAGCAAGAAATTGCTATTGCACAAAATACAGACAATAAATAAAAAATGTAACTTTGTTTATTGCCGATTGTCATCGTAATGTTTTGAAAAGTTAATACAGTCCACTTTTATTAAGAACAACCCGGTGTTTCGTAATTATTTTCTATTACATAACCTCTCGGGTAAAAATGAGCTATTGAAGCTTTTATGTGTTAACACATACATTGTTCTAAATAAATGCATGTTAGTGGATTTAAAATGACGAAAATCCTAGTTGAGCATGCTATTCTTCGAATAGTTTTAATTCTAGCTGGAAATTTAACAGAAAATATTCTCAAGAAAACACAACGGAGAAAGAGAATACGAGTTAGAGATGGGATTAGTCGCAGGGAAAAACGAGGTGTTTCAAATAACCTTCTACATGAACTTAAATTGGAAGATCCAGTCTTCTCTGTCTCTTATATGTAGCGGTTTTGTAAAGTGTGCTAAAGCGTACTGGGTTTTACCTAAGCCGGTTCCTCCAATCAGAACAATAGCTTTAGTAAAATCACTTTCCAATTTTCTATTGAAATCATTTGCTTTGAATAATGATTTATCTGCGGAATCGAACTTTTGAGTAAAATATAAACATAATTTCTTTTGATTTTGTATGTAAAATAACTTATCAGTATTTTCTATATGTTGCATCGCATCTTCATAATTTCCCTTGACCAAAGCTTCGTCAATAATTGTTTTATTTACTTCTTTATTAAATTGAGGTACGGTTCCAAAACTTACTAATTCTCCATTTCGTTTTTCTTCATTGGTACAGTATTTTAACATAGCTTCTGTGTCGTTAACTTCCTGGATTTTCCCGTCTTGTAATAATTGAATGACTCCTGATAGAGTTCTAGGGTTTTGAAAACCAAACAATAATTGAAAATGTTCTATACCATGTTCCCCTATCTCTTCTTGTCCAATGTACCATTTGACATGCTTCTCTAAGGCCTCCAAGTACTCATATCTTCCTGCTCCCGGGACGTAAGTGCAAAACGTTCTACACTTTCTCTGAGGTGTCTTGGGGACGTCATAATTGATGTTAATTCGCTTCTTGGGAGGATCGGAATTTCGTTCCGAAAGGACACTTCGTGTGGTACCAATCCGTAACATTTGCGACATTGTGCTAGTTTACTGGACCAATAAATATTAACAAAATTCCAATTGTGTAAACTCTTGGTTGTTTCTAAGCGACAGCGACCACACGTTTCGATTTCTCTAAAAAAAACTTTAGGACAAACTTCGCAGGCAGAATAATTCGGAACCAGCGGATTTGTGCGGTTCATTGTTATCACTGATACAAAGTGGTCGTGTACGTTATTTATAGCAGCGGCGGAACATGAGATAAAATTGAAAAATAAATTAGGTGTTCCTGTTCCAGTGGTATACGTCATCATATCAAACTTTTATGGGTACTTTACCATCTAATTATATGGTGGCACAGAACAGCTATATTATTTTTTCTTTTATCTTCATGTTCCATCTTTTTATCTTTTGAATGTTTTGCCCGGTCTGGGAGTTGTGTCCCCGACCCCCAGGGCCACGCCCAAAAAAATGAAAAGTGAAACTCCCGAAAACTCCCGCAACTCCCAGGCCCCCCCCTGCTGGGGAGTGTATGGTACGGTACGCTCATGTTTTATGCCTTTCTTTTTTAACAAAGTATTCACCGAAGAATTGCAAAATTCTCCAACATTATCGCTTCTAATAATCTTAACTCTTTTATTTGTCTGATTTTCGAAAAATACAAGAAATTCATTCAAGATTCTGTGTGTTCAAAACAACTAGGTGATTTGAACAGCATTTTAAAAAGTTTATCTGATCGAAATTCTTTTGCTACTGTGATGTTCTCCTTATACACAAATTTTGCCTCTCCGGCATTTGAAATTACAGATAAACCTTTGTCTAGGGCTTTACCCTGGGAAAACAAATTTATTTCAAGATTTGGAACATAGAGAACATCATACAGTATCAAAGAATGGAAATTTTTACCATTAAATGCTTACATACAAATGTTACCTTGACCTTCGGCTAGTAAGTTAGTACCATCACCAATCTTGATATATTTTGCCACTTCCATTTTTTCATTACTGCAATAAGTCTAAGTGTCTACACATATGCTGCGAGGCTCCACTGTCCATGTACCATTCAATATCTACTTGAGACCTAGCTAAACTGGAAGTGGAAATGAGCGCAAAATTCCCATTCGCACTCTTCAAATCATTTTTGTTTCTTACATCCTTTTTCTTCCTGGCAAAACAGTCCTTAATAAGGTGGCCCTTCTTCTTGCAGTAACCACACTCGATATTCCTGCACTGGCTCTTCGACCGGCACGTTGGTTCTTGATCAAGGACGTGAGAGACGGCCTACTCAAGCCAAGCAACGTGGTGTCGGGTTGGAGATTGGATGGGTGACCGCAGTAGTACGGGACGGTAGGTCGCCCGCTGTGCCGCCAATCATCGGATCTCCAAGTATGAATGAGGAGTAGAGCCCATACAAATGAAATACAAAAAGCCTATAAAGGCTGCAGTGTAGAGTATGGGCTCGAAAGGGTGAAATTAAATAAAAAACTGGCTCTTCGAATGTCCCACTTTTCTGCAAGAAAAACAGTTTCTGTTTTTGTTTATATTTGACATTTGACGAGACTGTGACGTTTGTCCAACAACAGACTGGTGACAAGCCATTAGTGCGAATCTGTCCTCTTGTTTCACTAATCTATCTTCTTCGATCAAAAGGCGAGCTGTCAAATTATTTAGGGTCTGATTTTTTCTGACCACTTTCACCTGGAACCGCCAAACATACCAATTGGAATTGTTGAGCTTGGTGACCGCTACTGTGGCATCCATTTTTTCACTTTTCACTATGGTACTCCTTAGGCCCGTTTCATAAAGGACCGATGATCAGTGCGGATGCATCGGTCGCTATCAGGTCGCTATTGACTGATTTGTTTTCAGATGCGCGCCTGTCGTCAGTCGTCAATATGTATTTGAAAAGCACACAGCATCGCGTTGTTGTCGCTTTGTGCGTAAAAAGATTGATAGAAAGGCAAAAAAAGAAACGGAATTCCAGAATTTGGGTTCATCCACTATGTCTTCTAAGGCCAATAAAAGGTGCTTTCGTTACCCTGTATTCAAATTTGCGAGAAGATCCAAACAAATTTTTATGTATTTTCGGATGTCCATTGCTTCTTTTGACGAACTGCACCAGAAACTACAAAACGATCTTAAATTTTCAGACTGTATTAGAGCTTCAATATCTTCAGTAGAAAGATTGAGTGTAGCCCTAAGGTAAGATTTTTGAAAATATTTCTTATTTAAATGCTTAGTCAGTAATAATTGGATAAGGATTATTTGTATCATTTTTTATTGTTTTTAAATAGAAAAGAGACAAATTAATATTATCTAAACGCAAAAGATATATTAATATGCAAAACAGCCTAAAATACAAAACATAATAATAAGCATTTATAACACATTTCCGCCAATATTTACACCTGTCAACTCTAACAGATTAGGTCGCTCTATGTCGCTCTGGCGATTTTTAATAGGTAGGCAGCCCTCTTGCGACGGCAAGTTATGAGAATATCCATATTCATTAGATGATAGAGGTGAAGAAACGTAAGATACACTCGACTGCGGTCTTGATGAGTTTATATCAGAATATCCAGAAGCGGAATAAGACATAGCATAAGGAAAGGCTACTGAACTATTGCTAACATTACGCTGGTTGGAAAAATGTCTTATTTGGGAACTATCTGGGGTATTATACATTTGTGAAATAGTGGGGACATTTTTAATTTCCATCATAATTGGTTACAAATTCCATCAGTTTTTCATCAATATCTTGTTTTTTTTTCTGCGCTTCTTTGTTTGAGTATGTACAGAATCTTCTTCGTAAACCGACTCGATTATGGCATCTTCATTTTCAGACATGTCTTCTACATTTTGACTCTCTGCCATATTACCCATACGAAAATTTGTGTCAGTTTCATTAAGGTCTAAAGTTTTGTTTAAAAAGTTTAGATTTTCAAAGTAAATATACTTTTTAAATGTCTTTGCAGCTTGGCCCGATTTTGAAGCACTTACTTTTGATTTATCTCTGCGGTAGGCATCTCGAGCTGACTTCCATCGTTGCTGAATCAGTTTAACTGTAAAAGAAAATCTTATTATAAACCTTGAATTAACTTTGTTACTGCAAATTTGTTGTGTTTTTTATTTTACTAAGACTGGTTTATTTTTACGAGATGCAATTGCATTTGCCTCTTACGCTCAAAAATCGCTTACATTACGATTTTTGTTTTAGGTATTTGGCCAGTGGAAATACATTTACTGACCTACATTTTACATACAGAATGGGCATTTCAACAATAAGTGGTATTGTGGAATTGGTATGTGACAGTATTTGGAAGCATCTATCCCCTGAATGTCTGCCTGATCCCTCCAAAAACCAGTGGGTAGAAATTGCACGTGGTTTTGCTCAACATGCTAATTTCCCAAATTGCCTTGCAGCAGTCGACGGGGAGCACATAAGGATTACCAAACCAATTCATAGTGTTTCAGACTTTTTTAATTATAAAAAATATTTTTCTATTGTGCTCTTAGCCATTTGCGATTCAAATTACTGTTTTACATATATAGATGTTGGCGCTTATGGAAAGTTTTCCGACTCAAATATATTTAAACATGGCAAATTTTGGCAAAAAATTCAAACAGAAAGTTTAAATATTCCAGATGATGCACCTCCACAAGGCTATCACTGCCTTTCGTTTTTGTTGGAGATGAAGCCTTTCCTTTGTCACCAAATTTAATGCGCCCATATGCTCGAAAGAATTTAAATTATAAAAAAAACATTTATAACTACCGACATACTCGAGCTAGGCGATTTATCGAATGCTCATTTGGAATCATATCTAACAAGTGGCGAGTTTTTCACAGAGCTCTTGATGTATCGGTTCGCCTTGCTAAAAAAATTATCAAAGCTTGCTGTGTGCTGCACAATTATCTATGTGCAAGAGATGGTTATGCTTTTCATCATACACTAACAATAAAAGGCTTAACAGACTTGCGTAATACAACAATGCTAAATAGGTCTGCTTGGAATGTTCGCGAAGATTTTGCTAATTATTTTCTTAGTCCAGTTGGAAAAGTACCATGGCAGGATTCAAAAATATAATTTATGTTTTGTCAAATAATTAATAATGTACGTAACGCCGCGCCGCTCGCTTATATGTCATATTATATCGATTATAAAATAAAATATTCCTACTTACTTGCTTCTTGTTGTTTTGCCTCATCTAGATCCTCGAAATCATGTAGCAATATTTGAGCCACTTCTTCCCAAGCTTTATTTTTCGTATCACGATTTTTGTACTCTTCTGAAGATGTATCCCAGATACATTGTTTTTGTTCTATAGTAGCTAATAATAATTCGGTATCAAGACAGCAGATTCTCCACACCCAGGGTAACTTTTCGACGAACTCCAAGACAAAATGAAACTATTTCCATAAACTCACATGACGTAGAACTTAGTGGAATCAACAATGAAGTATATCTCGCCTCTACTAATAAACCAACCCCTTCACACGTCTATGAAGAAATACGAGTACCATAATCTACGCCAATTAGGATGACGAGATCAAAAACTAAGACTAAAAATTTAAAAAGAAAAAAAAATGCACCGTAAAGTGGGGTTACTTTGCTCCAGTTTTAACAATAAATAAATAAAATGCCGTGGAAAAAATTGAAAGAGAATAGATAAAATTTCAAAAATGAGTAAGATGATAAAGACAAGTTCGAAAAAAAGGTTTCTTAAAAAAAAATGAGAAAAAATAATTCTAGGTATTTTATTTTTTTTAAAATTAAAAGTGGCGCAAACCATACCATTTGGAGGGGCAAACTGTGGAGCAAAGTTATAGCATTGGTAAGATTGTATGTCCATTTATCATGTAAAACAGCATTTGTTTTTTTTTCCACGTTTATTGGTCAAAATCAAGAAAAATTCAGAAAGATACAAAGAAATAAATAATTTTCTTATTTCTAATTAAAATAAATTTAGAAAAAAAAACTTTTTGAAAACAAGCTTTTATAAAATGGACTAAAAAGCATAAAATAATTTTTTGAGTATTTTGATATTATAATAATAAAAGCGATGGGCGTATTAAAGGAAATTTACCCTTTTTTGTTTTAGCCTTGTTAACTCAAAGTTTAGTGAAAATCCAAATTCATTATATTATAGCAGAGAAATCTGAGGGTAAACAATTCAACCCAACCCAACCCAACCCAACCCTACTCAAGTTACCTTTACATTTTTCTGATATGGATGGACTATTACGCCTGCTTCATATTAGGCAGATCTTCCGCGACCGGCAGTGTGTCGATTTATTTTGTTACATTGAAAAAGAAGAGTCGGCCCATTATTGTTTGTGGACGATCCACCAAATGCGCATGTAAAGGCATTTACCTAATATTAAATACGCCCATCGCTTTTATTATTATGATATCAGAACACTCAAAAAATTATTTTATGCTTTTTAGTCCATTTTATAAAAGCTTGTTTTCAAAAAGTTTTTTTTTCTAAATTAATTTTTTAATTTTTAGATTTGTCTAAGTCTATGCATTTCAGCTAGCGCATCGATATCGCAGGGAGTCTTTCCTGTCAAAATTCGTAATCCTCATCCTCAAAAACCCCCAGATACCAATTTGGTAGAAATCTGACAAACTAAAATTTTACCCCCTCTCCGCCCTCCACGTTAGGGAGGTGGAGGCAGTCAGTGATACCACATTATTGGATTGTCATCGGAACTATAACAGTATGCGAAATTCGAAGTCAATCGGATACGTGGAAGTCAGTTGAAAGTAATCAGAAAAACTTAACATTAAATCGTCCATTTTGAATCCGCCATATTGAATTTTTGTAATCTGATCAAAAATTCGTAATCCTCATCCTCAAAAACCCCCAGATACCAATTTTGGTGGAAATCCGACAAACTAAAATTTTACCCCCTCTCCGCCCTCCACGTTAGGGGGGTGGTAGGCAGTCAGTGATACCACATTATTGGATTATCATCGGAACTATAACGGTATGCGAAATTTGAAGTCAATCGGATACGTGGAAGTCAGTTGAAAGTAATCAGAAAAACTTGACATTAAATCGTCCATTTTGAATCCGCCATATTGAATTTTTGTAATCTGATCAAAAATTCGTAATTCTCATCCTCAAAAACCCTCAGATACCAATTTTGGTTGAAATCGGACAAAGTAAAGTTTTACCCCCTCTCTACCCCCCACGTTAGGGGGGAGGTAGGTACCCGATGAAACCATATTATTGTATTGTCATCGGAACTAAGACGCTATGCGAAATTTGAAGTCAATCCGATGTTTGGAAGTTCTTCAAAAATGAGTTGCAAGATTTGATTACATACATACATACCCACATACATACAGGGTGTCCCAGGGAAAACAGTCCACTCCGATTTATTGGGTTTGGGATGAGAATCTGGGAAAACGCTCGGACACGTAGATGTTTGATTTGAGGGGGAACTATTTTTCAGTTTTTTTCATCCCTGTAGCTCCAACCCCCTAGCTAGGGGGAGAACAACCCCCCAAATTTGAATAGGGAATAGGGGTCGTGTCATACCTCTTTTTAAAGGTCTCATTGAGTTCTTTATGGCCCTATAATTTCATCTTATTATTTTCATCCGTAACGAAATGACAGCTTGTCAAAATCTTGGAAATGGACTATGTTTTAGTAGGAGTAAAAGCGGTACTTACCTCCCTTAATAAAAATACGAGTAAAAAGACCTACAATTTACAATTCTCGTGTACACCTCATTAATAATAATGAGAAAAAACTTCATTTCAAGTATTTTTATTAGGAGAGGTAAGTATCGCTTTTGCTCCCACTAAAACTAATAGTCTATTTCCAAGATTTTGACAAGCTGTCATTTCGTTACGGATGAAAATAATGAGATGAAATTTTCGGGCTATAAAGAACTCGATGAGACCTTCAAAAAGAGGTATGACACGACCCCTATTCCATATTCAAATTTGGGGGGTTGTTCTCCCCATACCTAGGGGGTTGGAGCTACGGGGATGTAAAAACCTGCAAAATAGTTCCCCCTCAAATCAAACATGGACGTGTCTGAGCGTTTTCGCAGCTTCTCATCCCAAACCCAATAAATCGGAGTGGACTGTTTTCCCTGGGACACCCTGTACATACATACATACATACATACAGGTGAAGTTAAATAAAAGCTTGTAAAAACAGCAGTTATTCTGTAAAAAGAGTGGGTAATATTTGGTTTTAATACAACACCAAATGATAAGTCTAAGAACACCATGTTTCCACTCAGCAACATTGAAAAATCCCCTATTAAAGACCTGGACAGGTGGATCTATGGACCCTAATACGTCATCCCAGGAGTAGGCCATTTGGTCCACAATTTAACACATTCGCTGCTGACTGGTTTGAGGCTACCGAACCCGAGAAACTGAAATAAATATTTGGGAAATGATACACAGTTTGGATACCAGGAAAATGGAGAATGCATATATATAATAGAAAACAAAAAAAAAAACGCCCTTAGGGCAGGGACGTCTTAAGACGCCGTCAGCCTCCCGCTAGAAAAAAAGATGCCAGGGGCGGGTGGGCGTCTAAAGACGCCTTGCAAAACAAAACAAAATACAACACATTATGCAATATGAAATTCATCAAAATGATAGAGCTACATATTCCTATGAAAATCAGCGAAACACGGCTCAATACACAGGGCTGGCTTTCCAGGACAGGATGGACAATGATAAACCGTTTCTTTACGAATCTTCTTCTTGCAGCAGTTAGTGCACTTTCGATGGGCGTGTTTTTTCTTTCCTCCTGTTTGAGGATTTTTTTCTGGAACATGGTTTGTGTTGCGGCGACTTTCGGCAGGGTTAGGGTTAGGACCTTGTTTTTGTGGAAGTAAATACTCAAGAACACGAAGTCGATAATCGTACAAGGTCACTCGTGGTTGTGCGTACTTTTTGAATAAAAAAAAAGAATTTACTAGGAGCATGTAAAAGATGTAAATTCCAATTTTTTTATACCATCTCAATGTTTTTCTATCACATGGATAGTACGACATCATTTGGTCTTTTTTATCTATACCCCCCATGGACTTATTGTATTGGCAAATGGCTTCCGGCTTTTCTTTTTCTTGTTGGCGCCTATTATAATATTTTGCCAAGTTGTTTCCAAATTCTGTCGATATGTAAAATACATCTCTGTTGTCTCGCCATTTACCTATCATAACTCCGTTCGAGTAGCGCGCAACTGTTTCTCCTTTTTTTAGTTTGGCTGTTTTCACTTCAACTGGATTTTGTTTCCGATCTACCCTAAGAGTACCAGTACAATAAGTATTTCTAGACAATAATTTGCAGGCGAGGTCATAGCTATTGTAGAAGTTGTCTAAGTATAGTGAGTGCCCTACATCTAGTTTCTCTTCCATCAAGTGGAGCACTACATTGGCAGCATGTCCTTTACCACCAAAATCGTCTAGAGTACCAGTGTAAACTGAAAATTTCAGAACAGTTCCATCTGGCTCCGTTAGCAAATATAATTTCACGCCGTATTTGTGTCTTTTATTTTTTATGTATTGCCTGAAAACCAAACGGCCACGCCATAGTACCATAGATTCATCCAGGGATAAATTTTTTCCTGGGTAATAAACTTGATTCATTTTAGAGTTGAAATAATCTATAACAGGTCTTATTTTGAATAACCGATCCGCTGGATTTGGATCTCCAGGTTTCGGATTTCTGCTAAAATGTAGACATCTCAAAATTAGCATAAAACGGTCTCTACTCATATAGTTCGAAAATGCTGGAAGGTTGAAAAGCCGATGTTTTTTCCAGTAATCCTGCAGTCTATTTAGCCTAATAGTGCCCATATGGAATACAAGACCAACAAATATTTTCAATTCCTCCTTTGTCAATTCTGCCCACTTTGTTATTCGAGATTTCTCTTGTGTATTCTCAGAAAGAAAAACGTCTTCTGCGTAGTTATTCGTTTCCAGAATTATCATTTCAAGCAAATCGTCATCAAACAGTAAATCAAAATAATCACCTGGTTCATTGCCTAAAACAAGATAAGAATACCTAATAAGAGAGAAAAAATTTAAATTTAAAATTTACCGTCAGGTTGAACTATTAGCTCCCTCTGTTTTGTAAATGTCAATTTTTTAAAATCCCCCACTGCATCCCATATGACATCATCCACAGGAGCCTGGCCAGGTGTTTTTTTTTTAGGTTGGGGTTTGGGATTTGTTGTTAATTTTAAACTATTATCCAAAACATCGGGAATATTATCGTGGACGGCTGATAAATCCAAATCATCCTCATCACCTTGGTCATCACTGTCACTAGAATTGCCATACTCAGCCTCAACATCTAAATCCTCATAGTCTGGATCACCAGTATCATCATCCGAGTCCAGCAAATAGCTTTCTAGTTCTTTATCATTCAAAGGAATTCTTTGTTTCCAACTTTTCTTACACAATCTAGGCCTTTTCACCCCTGAGGACCCTGCCTCACTATCAGACATCGCAAAATCAACGGCAACTGTTTTTCACTTCTTCAATACGTGTACGAAAGGCTGAGCAAAGCGCAACGCACCCGCTCAAAGGCTGACGATTTACTGGAGCGTTATAAGACAGACTGTCGAAGACGTCGAAAGACGCCCACCGCCTCCCAGCACAGAGGCGGAGGGCGTCTTTCGACGCCGTCAGCAGCGAACGTGTTAACTTGTCTTCCAGCTTGTTTGAGATAATTTTTCATGATATGTCGAAGTTCTCTTATATTTACGGGAAAGCCAAATTCTTCCATGGGGATTATATGTACTTTTCAAATTGGTTTCCTTCGTCGGCATTAAACACAGGTTGTTTTCCAATCAGCTTGAGGTGTTTTCCTTTCATTATAAATTGTTCTCCTCGGAATATTGTATTTCGCCTCTGCTTTCCTATGTGAAAGATGTCCAGTTCTGACTTCTTCATGGTTCAAGTAATTCTTTACTATAATCACTGTATCTTCTCGCTCCAAGTCTTTCTTTTGTACGTTCTGGAGCATCTTTTAAAAAATATCTCATTATTGGAACGAAATATTTTGCGCCACAATTGGAAAAACAAGGCAATACCAATTTGAACAGATGCGAAGGATACTTTGCGCCAGTTATCGCGTAGTGCAAAGTATCCCCATATTTTCTATATTTTGACACTTCAAAGATTTTTTTTTTTAATGTTTGTAAATTGTTATGAAAAGAAAATATTGGTGGTAGTTTTTAGAAAATACCTCAAAGATATAATAAAAAATTATTTACCTGTTCTATATCAATAGATGTACATGATATACCCAGATTTTTCCAGAGCGCATGTGACACCGTTTCCACCATTAATGTTTACTTTCGCGCCAAAACCCTTTAGAAATTCTTGAACGCTCCAACTCAAAAGGTAATATATGGAGGGATATGCTACCATGAATAAACCCGAGCGTTTGGTTGGTTCACTACATTTAATCTCTCTGGAAAGTATTTATGAACTTTTTTCTCAAGTGGCGTAATTTATCCCCTTATGGCGCAAAATAACCCCATTTTACGGCATTTTTGTCGATAACGATAATTCTTTTTAATTATCATGTATCTATTATGTTTATTGAACTATAGTAAGTTATTAGATATAAGATTCAATTGATATACCTGTTACATACGCAATCCCAAACCAAACAGAAAAAAAAAACACAACGCCACAAGTAAAAGAAAAAAAAACCATTTATTTCCCACACCTAGGTACGGTACAATTAGGTATTATTCTGGTCGTGGCTGTGGCTGTGGCTGAGGCACGGCAGGTGCCAAACACTCTGCGTGGACATTCACAAATGCCCCCATCGCCTAGAGAGCTGTTCTCATGATGAATAGAGGCGCCGAGTAGCTACAATGGCCGCAAAACCTCGGCGAGGGGTCGGCGTGGAGCTGCCCGCTCCTTGGAATCCAACCGTGGGACAACTGATAAAAAAAATAAAAATAAATGTAAATAGAAAAAATAATAAATATATTTTTACCCTACCTGAGTCAACTGAAGAACGGAGAGCCTCACGAAGAAAGTCTCCCCTGACATCTACACTTTACACACTCGAAGTAAATTTTACACGGAGTATCCATTCTGACGACTCGAATGTAAAGGCCAGTGGATCGCTGCCATTTCATTCATATAAAAAATTTATCAATTATAATTTGAATCATTTCTTTTTTTTTGGGAACACAACAAACCCATAAATAATCAGTATTTATCACACTCTTTTCAAGCCTTATCCTTACAGTTTCACACTTCATTTGAACCAAATATCATTATTAACTTTATAAATGTCGAAACCTTATCTGTTATTTCACACTCCGCTGACCCAAGAGTATTCTTGATCTTATTAACACATTTATCATTTAGTATTTTCGTGCAGGCATTGAACCTCTAGCAAAACACTTAACAGGGGAAGATTGTTATATCCCCATATACCTTTATATTGTTAATTTCCTATATTGTTATACCTATAATTATTATTATATTTTAGATATAAGTTATAACCCTATTTTAAGAATTCATGTTAAGACATGAATTAATATATTTCTTATTGCTCAACCGATATTGTAATTTTGTGTCATCCGATTCTTTCGAAATAATTCTTATCATATCAACGCGACCAGCGCGTGATCCATTTTTGCCACTCTTCTTTGTTCAATAACTGACGAAATCTCGGATGATGTCGAGTTCCAAGGAATGACGCAAATTTGCATTATAAATAGCTCGCTTCGCAATTACAAGTCAGTCAATAATTCACTCTTGAGTCCATAAGTCACTCTCAAGACAATACCATCTGTTGACTCTCAACTTTGATTTTAAAGCTCTCACATAGAGACATTATTATAAATTAGTTTAATCAATTTAAATAAACAAATCTGCAAACTACACAAAATTGATTTTTACTGGAGAAGAAACATTCTGGTATCCGGGGATCCCAACAGTAATTTATCCAAGACTCTAGCCAGGACAGACATTAACGATCGAAAAATGTTTTTTCTACGAGCGTGCGGAAAAGTGCACTTTTCCGCACGCATTTTAGTTTGGAAAGTTTCACTTTGTGCGAAAAAGTGACAGATGTCACTTTTTAAATTCTGAGCTGACACACTTACACAAATATCAGCATTGAGAATTATTGAAACAATAATGTTATTTATTAAATTATTTTGGTTTAAACTTAATTTTTCTTGTGAAGTTACTATAGAATGGTTACTTTATGCCTGAAAATTTCGAAAATTTCATAGTAGATACATTAAACGTACAAATTATTGTTAAAAGTTCTCGATTTTATTGTATTCAGAATAAGGCACATTATTTCAGAATTAGTTTTTTTTTTTTAATCAATAAATAAATAAGATTTATTTCTAAGAGTAGGTACCTAATTTATATTAAGAAAAAATTACTCGATTTGTTTTTAATACCAGGTGTTGCAGAAGAAATATCAAATATTGGTGTTAAAATTTACATATCAGGTATATTCCTTCTATCTCGTAGAAAAAATAGTGTTCCTAACTCGTGCGGAAAGTCTCTTTTCCTCACTTGATTGCTTGCCGAACTCCGCTACGCGTCGTTCGGCAAACTGCAATCGCGTGCGGAAAAGTGGCACTTTCCGCACTTGTTAGGAAATATACTATATAAATAGCGTCTAATTATTTACTTTTAGTTTATTAACAATACCCATAATACTGGGAATCATATCGTGTCTTTAGCAAGCTGCACGAACATCCGGATGTGTTCACACTCAAACGGATATACTAGATTTAGTACATGAATAAGTTCAAAGCAGGCATCTATTGCTTTCAAAATAGATATAAGTTTGAATATAATTGTGTCGAAACTTACATAAATATTTTTTATTTCCCTATATGTGGGTGCTTCCACGATCACAAAAGGGAGTTTCAGAAATTTTTTGCTATTAATAGTTTGGGGGTGTATGTAGATTTTCATATCTTGTAACGTTTGGGGCATATGGAATGCTAAAAGTATTAGTTAAGGTTGGGTTAGTGTGGGATTCAATTATCTCTAAAAATTTTGTGTGCCTCATGACCAAGTATTGAGTTATTTTGTCCATGCCGAGATCATTATGTATGTCACCATTTCTTACGAACCACGGTGCTCTTATTATTCTTCTTAGAATTTTATTTTGAAGAGTTTGCAGAATTTTAATTTAGGATTTGGGAGTTTTTGTGAATGCCTAGGAACCAGGGGTCGAATGACTTGTTTATGTAAAATTAATTTATTTTTTCTTGTTAATCGACTTTTGGGGCCCAGCATTGAATAGAGGGATCCGTATGCATTGTTTCCTTCTAAGACTTAATTTTCCAGGTGCTCCTTAAAGTTGAGTTTTTTGTCTATAGTGATGCCTAGATACTTGATACTCTCTTTCAATTGAATCGTGTTATTATTGATTTTTATTCTTGGGACTTGGTTATATCTTCTAATGCCTGTGATAACTATTGCTTGGGTTTTTTCCTCGCTAATTTTAATCCTCCATTTGTTTGCCCAAACGGAAAAGTTGTTAGCTGCTCTTTGAAGACTTATGTGAATCAGAGATTCACGACTTGACTTGATTATCAAGGCACTTGACTTGACTTCACTTGATATCAAGTCAAGATCAAGTCAAGTATTTGTTTTTGAAATTCAAGTCAAGTCAAGTAGTTACATATCATGTAACTTGAAAATCAAGTTTTTCAAGCTAACTACTTGATTTTTCTTGAAAAAATAGCACTTTTTTGATATTATTCTGACTAACTGCCAAAACGCAATAACAATAAAAATCTATCTATATGCAAGATGTCCCATAAGTTACGGTCCAAACTGAAAAGGGTAATAGAGGAGGTTATTGTCGACAAAAAAAACCTTATATGTTACCATACAATTCTTCACGATTTTCAAGATATTCGGATTTTATTGATTTTAACAAACATGGTTACATTGGTAAAACCAACGAACCCATGATTGATTTTTTTTTCTAATTATGAGCAGAAATGTTTTATGAGTATGTGAAGTTCTTTCTCTTAACTAATGAACTTGGAGGGTGTTTTTCTCTTTGATTTTTGTTTCATTCAATTCACAGCAAAAGGCCGAATGATAATAATAATTTAGAAAGCAAACATGAAAAAAGGTGACCCATATGTGTTAAAACTACTCTGATTTATCCTTGTTCAATTAAGGCCACATTGGTCTGAAAATCTCTGATACCATTGTAACTATGTTTGGTAAAATCAATAAAATTCGAATATCTTGAAAACCGTGAAGAATTGTATGGTAACATCTAGGTTTTTTATTGTCGGCAATGACCTCCTCTATCACCCCTTCCAGTTTGGAACGTGACTTATGGGACACCCTGTATAGATGTAATCTTTTATTTAAAAAACATCTAAAAACGATAACTCGAACAAACTCAATTAAATAATAAATGAAATAATATGGAATAGAAATATTCTGAATTCTGATAATAAAACAATAGAAAAACAAAAAACATGAAAAGAGTAAATATCTCAAATAAATCTTCAATATCCTTATTTACCATCCATGATTTGAGACACATAAGGCTTCTAACGGAGTTATCGCCTAATCGATTTCTTGTTTTGGTAAGAGTTAAGGTAGCTCTAGAAAACTGCCTTTCAACTGGAGCTGAAAAAGCTGGCGTTGCCAGAAAGTCTTTGGCCATTGCGGCAAGGTTTGGAAAAATGCATTCGGGTCTCTTCCACCATTCCAAAATATTTTCAGTACTGTCAGCTCTTGGGTCAGAAATATATTAGTCGATTTCGTAACGCCAGGCCATATCGTCGTCTGCATTATGGGCAGGTTTTCTATTCAACAAACTTAGTAGATCTATTTCAAACTTCTCGACACCACTATTTTTACTAGTAGTAGAAGATCCGAATAGGAAAGGATCTGCACACATCTGTTTATTGGGTGAAAATTATTTTATATCAAAGTTAGTATGTTAAAAAATATATCAGGTGTGGGTTGGCTAAAAAATTCCTG